TAAAATAGATGTTCAAGCAGGACTGGGGTTGACCAGTATATCAAAATTTCAGATGAGCAACTGGTGAGGGCAAGGGGTGTTTGTTTAAGGGAGAAGTAAGAACATGAGCACAAGTAAGGTCTCAGCCAGGGGACGGGTGCAGAGAGGTGGGGGCAGAGGGAGCCTGAGTGCTATGAGTGAAGGCTCTAGTCCAAGACCCCAACTGGCTGACTGAGCAGGGACAAGGAAGTGACCAGCAACCAGCTCAGGCAGTTGGCAGAGCTCCACGTGGGCAGGACAAGTGAGGAGGTGGTGTAATAGAGCTATGGAGCCTCCGGTTCTCCCGGGAATGGGAAGTCCTTCTTCTGGGAGATGAGGGTGTAAGGCCAAGACTGGGTCACAGACGAGCAAGGCAAACTCAGTCACTTGGACAGGAGTCTAGAGATTATCTAGGATACGTGCTCTTTTTTTTTTTTAATCCAAGAATTATTTACTGAGTACCAGCAATGGGCCAGCTATTGTTGTAGGTGTTAGGGACATAGCAGCAAACAAAAGAGACAAAAATCCCTGACCTCATGAAGTTTATACTCTAGTAGAGAAAGTGAAGGAATAAAGGATAAGCAACAAATAAAATACAGAAAGAAGGTCAAATGGTGACAAGTACTGAGATGAAGTAAAGCAGGGAATGGGGACAAGTACAAGGGCAAGAGTGGAACTTTAAAGTAGGGCAATCAGACAAGGTGACCTGAGAACAAGATATTGAACAAACACCTGAAGACAGTGAGGAGACAAGCAGCTTTCTGGAGGAAGAACATTCTGGACATACAGCAGCCCCAAATAGCAGCAGGTGCAAAGACAGGAGTGTCCCGGGCACATTTGGGAACAGGGAGGAAGTGAGGGTGACCGAGCAGATGTGTCGGGGAGCAAGAAGGAGAAGAGGAGGAAAGGTAAAGGAGTTGCAAGTTGTGTAGGACCTCATAGGCCATCCAAGGGGGCACAGACCTTTACTCTGAGTATAAGGGAAAACTACTGGGGGTTTTGAGCAGGACGGACATAACCTGATTTATGTTCTAGAAGGCTCAGTACAACTGATTAGTATAGACTGGAGTGTGGGTAGGGAAGTGGGAGAGGCAGGGATCAATTAGGAAGCCACTTCCACAATCCAGGTGAGAACCAATGGTGCTCGAACCAGGAGTAACACTCTCAGTGTATTTGAAAGGTCAAGCAAACATATTTGCTGATATAGTTGATGTTCCAGGAGTGAGAGAAAGAATGGAGGCCAGACTGAGTCTCTGGCTTTTGGCCTCCAGAACCCTGGTATGGAGCTACCATTTGCTTAAGATAGGAAGACCCCAGCTGGTGGAGGTCTGGGGGAAGAGAGAGTTCCAGAGTCCAGTTTTAGACATGTTAAGTTCGAGATGCCAATCTAGAGAGCCAAGTGGATTTGGCGAGTGGGCAACTGAAGGGCAATAGAAAGGGTCTGGATGGAAATATAAATTTGGGGGACATCGGTATACAGATGCCATTTAAAACTTCGGTGCCTGTGACTTCAGGTTGGTGACACTGAACACCAGCCTCACTTTCCTTCTGCTCAGCATCTCAGGGCCCCCGCCCTCCCTATTGTCAGGTTGCCTATTTTGTCCCTATTATCTGGCTTCGCCCAGGTCTGCTTTCCCTGCTCCTGGCTCTTACCTCCTTCTACCCCAAACACATTTACCTTTTCTGAGTCGTATTCTCCCAGAACGCTCTTCTTTGGATATAACTGTGTAACAGATATAAATTAAATTAATGGGTATAATTCAGATGTCTGTAAATTGCCCTTTCCACGCTGATGTGAGTTCTTTTGAATAGGGGACGTTTAGGCCATGTCAAAGGAAGGAAGCAGATCACATTTGGGACGTGTGGCACCTTTTGAATGGCCTGGGGGAAGACAGCTGGCTCCGAGGCTGAGGGCATTGCCTTTAAGATACAAAATAGACATGTAATCCACATTCAAAAAATACTCTTTCCACATTTGGATGAGGCCCTTTGAAAAAAGTATATATTTCCATTACAATTTAAATAAAGGCAACCAGTATTATTTCATACCATTTCATTTAGCATGTTCACAGTATTGCAAATGCTCCAGGAGTTCAACTGAAGAAAAGCTTATTTTATTTTATTTTATTTTGACCGTCAGGAAGAGCCAGAGAGCTTGGGAGCAGTGCCAGAAGAGGAGGCCTGTTCAAAGCTGGATAAAATCCACAAGTGTATGTTGGCCCAGACCGGTATCTGGTATGAGGCTAAGACCTCTGGCCTGGGGACACTTCAAGGAAGTGTTTTTCTATTGGTTGTCAGTAGGTCTCAATCCTGGCTGTCAACTGGCTTACAAATGACTTGGGCCTAAACCACACCCTCAGACATTCTGATTTCAGTGGAGAGACCCGAGCATCAGTTTAAACAAACAAAAAAAATCTCCAGGTGATTCTGATGTGCAATGAGAGGTGAGAACCCCTGAGTTGGACAGATCTGTCCTCTCCAGTTCCATAAATCTGTCCCCTTCAAGCCCATTCATGTACCTCACACACATAGAATTCAACCAGACCATGACACAGCCAGTTCCTCATATTACCATTTCCACATGCTTACTCTTGCTTCTTTCATTACATTTGCTTTAACATTTTTTCACTAATTTCTTTACTGGTTTAACATGGTTTAGAATACCTCTTAAGACAATGTGTCACTGTTCATTTGTGAAAAAAAATAGTAACTCCCAAGAAACAGTTGTAGCATCTGAGAAAAGAAAACCAAAACAATACAATATCCCAAATTTACACCAAGATCTCCTCCCTTTGGAAACTCTGCTGCAGAAATTACTGTGTGCACCCCGTTCCCAGAGTGATTCTATTATTGACAATGTGGGCAAAGAAGTAAAGAAAACACACACACACACATACACACAAACCATGCTCATTTCAAGCCACCAAGAAACACAGGCCAAAAGAAAGATAATATCAATCAACCTTTGCCAAGTGGAAAAGAACAAAGCCAGCAGGGACTGAAGTTCTATATCCAGCTTTTAAAAGAGAATTTTGAACAATAGAGAACAAATACAGGGTAATAATTCAAAAGATTTGCAAACAACGCAACAGAACAATGCAAAATGAGTCAATACTACTGGGCGTGTGTTTACTCTAGAAAGAAAAGCTGGACACCCTGAACTCCATTAATAAAATGTTCTGTGTTTGCACAGTAACCCTCACTCATAGAACCATTGCCCTGTCAGTAACAGTCTCTAGTCTTACCTTAGAGAACTTGTTGAAACATTGTCAGCACCTTGGTTCCCATGTTACAAAGAGGGAGGTAAAGACAGGGAAAGGCTAACTACCCTGATGCACGAAGTAGTAGCTGAGATGCTTCTGGAACAGCTACTAGTAAGCAATGACCTCTGTTGGTGTTTCACGAACCAAAACATTTCCATTTTCTCAAGAAAGTCGGGGGCTATCGTTTTATGTCTACAGCCTAACCCAAATGTTCCTTCCTTTTCGAGAATGGTCTTCTATTCTCCCTTTGTCTTTCTCCATGCTCTGTTCCATTTCCAAATTGTCTTCCATGATTCAAACTGTGTTATAATTAGCTCTAAGGGGCTATAGAAAAGGCTTTTTACTGCTAGGATTTTGGTGACTATCTGTGTCTTGAGATAAGCAGCCATCTGCTAGGACTTGGTAATGTTCTTTACTGGGTAACAGTTTCTGGGGTGAGGCAGCTTACTGGCATGGTAAAAAGTAGATGGAGAGAGTACAGATAAGGGATCACCAGAACGCCTTCCCACGAGGAATGCTAACTGCACCCTGTGAGAATGCCAAGTCAGGGGAGGGAATGGTGCCCCATGTGTTGGCTCTGTTAATTAGCACCATTTGAAGATAATTATGACAAGACCACACAGGGAGAGCATGATGTTTCAAGTGGAGTAGACCATTAAGTAAACAGGAGTAGTGAACTGCATTTCCTGGGTGGTTGTGAAAAATCTTCCAAAAGATGGACGGGAGGATGCTGAGAGCTAAATTTAGTTCTTTGGAGGAACCAGAAGGAAGAGCCCAAGCCAAACTTTACCACCACATCCTGATTACTACCAAATTGTCTCAAGCTTTCTCAACTCACTTCAGTACTTGTTGATAAAACAAGAACTTTAATTACAGTCTCAGCTCAAGAGAGATATGGAGCTAACACCTCCCATATCTCTATCCAGTAGGAACCACTGCCCTTGGAAGACCAAACAGGACCAAGGAGGAACCTGGCCACTGTTCTGGGAAGGCATGGGAAGAAATGCTAGGGATGCAGGCTGTCTTCCTCCTGGTACCTCCTGTCTACCCACCCACACTGGCCTTCCTGTTTCTCCTGCTCACTTTGCTTTTGCCACCCAGCCCTTGGACTTATATCAGTCCTACTTCAATCCTTGCTTCCCTTGAATTCTGATCTTTGTGATATTTCTAACACTCCCTTCTCTCAGATACAAAGTCTCAAAACCTTGACTCTACTTCCTAATTCATTGCCACCTCCACCTGTGCCCTGGGATCCTAAGGGATGTGCAGCCCTGGCCTTTGGTGGACCTCAGCCAGCTCTCTGCTGCCCCCACCTGGTCCACAGCAGCATCTACAGATGGTAATCTGACAAACTGGCCCTTAAATCCAACGCAGCTTCACCTAATTTCTGGCAACAACTCGAATTTTGTTAATTTTGTTTCACTGTAGCCTGACTTAATGTATGGGTTCCAAGAAAATTCTTCATTTTTAATAGTCAAGTTATGCTTGTGGGTAATGAGTTATGCTAGTGGGTAAATGGGCTACTTTAGGGAAAGCATTTTAAGGTGAGTGCAGAACAGTGGTATGGTAGCAGAGTAAGCATTCTGAAAAGGCCAGCCTAAAGTGATGGCTTTTTAAAAAGTCACTGGGACACGCCACATAAATGTAGGGTTATTCCAAAAAGCGGCCGTTTATGTAACATTAATTTTTTTCTTTCCTTCTATTTCAAATTTCCGATAGTAGTAATAAAGGAGGTAGAAGAAGAAAGAAGAGGAGGAGGAAGAGGACACTTGGTTTTTGAAGCAATTCGGAAGCTGGGTAGAATAAATTCCAGCACCTGAAACTACTAAGTTAACCATCCAGCCATTCCCACCCAAGGAACTAGCAGGGCATCAATATGTGCCTGACGTGTTCACCTCCACATCGCCAGTGCCTGGCTGGAATCAGGTACACGGTAGACCTTCAACATGCATTTGTCGAATAGATGAATGTATGCACATGTAATTAACAGCGCTTTGTAAACCATACCTTCATGCAGCGCACTCTAAATATTTGTTATTTTACATAGCCTGGAGGTTAACAGCACTTGCTTGTCATTTGCACGGATACTCAATAGCACATGCACAGCCCCTCTCCTCTCACAGCCCTAGCCCTCTCATTCCTGCCTTTCTACACCATATGACTGGTCAAAAATGGGCCTCGGAGTGGGAAAAATATTTATTTTCATGAATCACCAAAGCACTTCAATGCTCTGGCTCAGAAAATGGTGATCTCAAATTACATCTTTACATTGGAAGGTATGTAGTGGGACTGATGAATCTGAATGGTCTTTGGTAGAATGGAATTGCAACTTAGGTCCTATAGAAAATGATACATTATGTTTTATAATAGAAAAATATTTTCGGGGGCGCCTGGGTGGCTCAGTCATTAAAGCATCTGCCTTCGGCTCAGGTCATGATCCCGGGGTCCTGGGATCGAGCCCCCATTGGGCTCCCTGCTCCGCGGGGAAGCCTGCTTCTCCCTCTCTTAGTCCCCCTGCTTGTGTCCCCTCTCTCGCTGTCTCTCTCTGTCGAATAAATAAATAAAATCTTTAAAAAAAAGAAAAGAAAAATCTTTTGGTTGTAACGAATGTCCAAATTAAGCATATTGGGAATAGACAGTTTTTTAAGAATAGAAAAGACTTAAATGGAATTTTTTAGAGATTATCTGAATAAACTCAAGACTGAGATATACAGTCTTAGAAAGATAAATCCAAGGGCGCCTGGGTGGCTCAGATGGTTAAGCGTCTGCCTTCGGCTCAGGTCATGATCTCAGGGTCCTGGGATCGAGTCCCGCATCGGGCTTCCTGCTCCTTGGGATCCTGCTTCTCCCTCTGCCTCTCTCTCTCTGTCTCTCATGAATAAATAAATAAAATCTTAAAAAAAAAAAAAAAAAAGAAAGATAAATCCAAAGGCCCACTACTACATGAAAGAAGTAGAGGTGCCTATCAGCTATGAACAAGAGTAACATTAATACCATGGCGTTTTAATTAGTTATGAAAAAATTGACCAAACAAGATAAAGAGGGATATTATGAATATAAAGGTACATGTTTACAAAAGAGATATAAAAGTCAATAAACTGGAGGGCCCGAACAACAGAGCAGCTAAATCTACAAAGCAAAGCTATTTAGAAGTGAAGAACTTGATTGATTAAAAAGCACTTGCAGTGGGAGATGCGAATACATCTTTTTCAGAAGTGATTCAATATTACATTCCTTTATCTACATTTAATAGTCATATAGGGATCCTGACATTTTTCAACTAGAGAATTTTTGTTCATTTATCCATCAACAATTTATAAAGTTTGATTATGAACTTGGGCACAAAGATTATGTTTAAAATGTTTGCAAAATACAGGTTTACATGACAAAAAACCTCATAAAAATCCAACACAATCTGAATAAAAAGAGATAAACGATCTTTACCTGAAAATTAGAGTATATATACTTAACTAAACTCTAAAAGTGAAGAAATCAGGGTGCCTGGGTGGCTCAGTTGGTTAAGCATCTGCCTTCAGCTTGGGTCATGATCTCAGGGTCCTGGGTTAGAATCCTATGTCAGGTTCCCTGCTCATCAGGGAACCTGTTTCTCCGTCTCCCTCTTTCCTCCCCTGCTCATGCTTTCTCCCTCTCTCTCTCTCCCTCACTCTCAAAGAAATAAATAAAGTCTTTCAAAAAAATTAAAAAACTAAAATTGAAGAAATCAAAGATGATATTCAAACTGCCTTGAAGGCAATGATAAAGATGCTTCAGACCAAAACCTATGGGTCACAAAAGAAACTGACTTAACTGAAGTTTTATATATATATCATGTATATGATACATATAATGATATCTATATATCTATATAAATTATATAAATTATATAATTATAGATAATTATGTAAAATACATATGTATGAAATATATAATAATATATAATATAAAGTACGATATAATAACATAATATATGTTATATATTACACATTATACATATAATAATCCCCACATAAAACTGGGAATTCCCAGGCCTCCTCTTCAAGAACTTTCTTCTCCACTCCCTGGGGGTATAGCTGCCCCCCCAGCTTAATCTCTGTGCACCACTCCATGTCCTCTTTGATTTCTTAAGACAATCTCCTGAGGGGCGCCTGGGTGGCTCAGTCGGTTAAGCATCTACCTTCGGCTCACGTCATGATCCCAGGGTCCTCGGATCGAGTCCTACATCAGGCTCCTTGCTCAGCAGCGAACCTGCTTCTCCCTCTCCCCCTGCCTGCCACTCCCCCTACTTGTACGCTAGCTCTCTCTCTCAAATAAATAGATAGAATCTTAAAAAAAAAAAAAAAAAAGACAATCTTCTGAGATCTATTCTGAGCCCAGAGCCTCAATCTCACCCCCCCTCCTTTCTTTTTAATTTTTTTTCTCCTTCCCCTGCACCGGCATGGCCCCATTTCCAGAAACTGGCACCCCAACCCAGACCTCAGTGTCATAGCTTCCACTCGGGTCCCACCCCCAGCTCCCAGCTGCCCCACCACCGCCACAGATCCTTCAGAAGCCCAGCTACCACCAACACCCTGCTCAGATATCTGCTCTGAGCCCACATTGCCTACGGATCAAAGTCCAGGGGCCTTTAGCCTGGTCACAACCTGCCTTTCCAAAGAATTTGCCACAAGCCAGTTTCATGTAATCCCCTGGAGCTGAATGAACTCCCACCATTCCTGGAAATGCCAGGTGCTTTTCCACTGGCCTTGCTTTTCTCTACTTGGAATGCCACCTCTAATCTCTAAATGCCCAAATCCTGCCAGTCTTAAAGGCCAAGCTCAAATTCCACTTCTTTTATAAGATGTGGCAGGAGGTAACATTTCTTTCCTTTTAAAGCCCTAACAAACAGGAAAGCCAAGTGGGGAGAACTGACAGAAAAATGGAATACCTGTCTTATCCCAGTTCACATCGTCTTTGCTATATTTTCAGTATGCATATGCCTTTCTTCCCCAACCAGATTTCATTATCCTTGAAGTCTGATTTATCTTCATCCCCTTAGCACTGGCCCAAGAATACAGTCAATAGTATTTTCTGACCAAATGAATATATACATACAGCAGTATATGCATATAGATTTAATTCATTGCTCTCTTCTTTTCTGGATCAGTCTCTCTTATCACTCTGAAGGATCAGGCCTGTCTCTGCAGTGAACTTGCCAAAGTTCATCAACATATCTTCATGTCCACGATAGATGTATGGGCAACTCGGTCTTTCCATAGAAATGACTTGTTGCTCTCTTCCTCTCCCTGATAATAAGGACTGGTCCTACCCTCTATTTTGTACCACCACCACCCCACCCTGGCCCAGTCCAAGGTCCTTTATAAACAGTCTACCAGGCAGTCATGGTTTGTATTACAAGATCTTCAGCATCTTGGGGCGCCTGGGTGGCTCAGTCCTTAAGCGTCTGCCTTCGGCTCAGGTCATGATCCCAGGGTCTTGGGATCGAGCCCCTCATCGGGCTCCCTACAACGCGGGAGGCCTGCTTCTCCTTCTCCCACTCCCCCTGCTTGTGTTCCCTCTCTCACTGTGTCTCTTTGTCAAATAAATAAACAAAATCTTTAAAAAATAAAAATAAAAAATAAAAGATCTTCAGCGTCTTTACAAACAACATCCCTGTCTTCTTGGGTACCATGTAGGTACGAAGTCATAGAAGACCAGTGCTAGGCTGGGATGTTGATTTATCAACCTGACCACCACCTTCATAGTGCAGATGAGGAACCGTGCAGTCCAGAAACCTAAAATGACTTGCCCAAAATGCTAGGCTTTCAACAAATATTTAGTTACTTACTATGGACAGCAATCACTGTGCTAGGTGCTAGGGTCATCATGATAAAAAAAAAGATAGACTCTTCATGAAGTTGCTATCTAACAGGAAAGAAAGCTAACAAAAAGCAAACTTCATAAAATGTCAACAAATGTTCTGATATGCAGAGTATAGATTTCCATGAGAAAATACAGCCTCCCTGCAGAAGAAGAGCAGATGGAAGTAAAGGGTGAACAGAGATGAGTCAGCAAAAGGGAGGCAGGAAGGTTCTAGCTAGCTAGTGAGAGCTGGGCCAGGTAGCAACTCCATGAACTTCTGTCTTTTGCACTCTGTTTTTGACTCTAGCTCTTTCCCACTCTCTAATTCTCCCCTCCTAGCTCTGCATTCCTATGGCACTTCAGCTACTCTCCCATCTTTCCTCTGCCTCCCTCCCTTCCTCCTTTCCTGCCTCTCCCCCAACCCCTCCCATCCAGCCTCCATGCATTCCCAGGAGCATGCAGCAATCTCTACACAAAGAGTTAAAGATCCTTTGCTGAGTTGAGGTATTCTGAGTGATAACAGAGCCTTTTTCCTCTAGCACATGCAGTGATCACTCCACAAACACTCACTGCCAACCATGTGTCTCCTGGGGGAAGTAGACACCTCATCAGAGTGGATAGGAATCTGCCAAGTGAAGGTCGGTTTCACAGTGGCCGTCCTTCTGGCCACAGAAGTAGATGTGTGAAGACCAGGAGCCCTGGCATCTTCGAGGAACTCAGAGATCATAGAGCTAGATCAAGCTGAAGACTGCAGTAGGGCTGGCAAGTCAGCAGAGGTCTGATGGAGGAGACAGTAGCCCAGGGGCAGAGGGTGCCTCTGTCCTATTCATCCACTGGGAGCCTGATTATTGCTTCCACAGGACAGCAGGAACATGCAGTTTTCTCTACAGAAATAGTTGAGATTGTTAACCAAAAATGCTCTTTAAAAATACTTTTCAACATAATAACTGCTAAAGGAAGCGTGTGTCTCCCTCCACATCAGATTTGTGACTTCTTTTTCTCACTTCTGAACCAAAGGGCCAGTATTTGGGATCCTCTGGGCCTGGGACTTGTTTTTTTAGTATCTCTAAACCTAAGATTTAATTTTTTTCAATGTAGCTTTTCTTCCTCCTCTACAGCTTGAAATCAATTTCAAAATGTCAGTTACTTAGGGCAGATACATTTCAACAATTTTCTATGAAAAGCCCAAAGAAAGACACTGAAATTAGCCAATTTCTTCTGATCATGATAGTTGTGCTAATGGAATTCTTTTTCAATAATTTCTTAGTTTTTCAATGCAATTCTTTAGGCCCCGACAAAGTAAAATATAATTTTTAAGTGATACGAGAAAATACAGAAGGAAATAACTGTCCAAGAGATTTGGAGGAATTGAAATAAAATAACTGACATGATTTGAGAAGTAGAATGGTGCAAAATTCTTGTCTCTGTCTCTTCGGAGTGATAATTTGAGATAATGTCTCTATATCCCTAAAAGAGACTATGGATTAGAATGAAATCATTTCTTAATATGCCATTCTGATTTTGGAAATGTGATAAAACATTTTATGTTAGTAGTCTGAAGTGATTTGGAAATCATTTATTTTTCAAGTATTTGAAACCTTTAAGTCTTGCCACTGGAAAAGGGAGGGAAGAGGTATTTTTTTAAAAAAGAAGAAGGTCATTTAAAAGCCACGGGGAATGGTGGAAAGACCAGAGCTGGCCTGGTGGGATGACGGGGCGGCCAGCCATCCCTGTCCCTATGACCAGCTGGCTGTCACGCCTTCCCCAGCTCCCTCACCTCCAATTAGGGCATTGATAAAAAGAGCTGAACACTAGTTCAATATGTATCCAAAATCAAAGTTCACCCCAAATATAAAATAAGCTGTCAACATGTAGTCCCACCACGCTCCAGGCGGGCTGAGAGAGGAGGCAAGAGCAACCCTCAGTAAAGGTTGTGCAGAAGGGAGAAGGCCACGCCGACAGCAAACCAACCTGTGGGCCCAGCCCGGGGGGCTGGAGCTGCACCTGCCTGTGCAGGTTCTGGGGCTCCCAGCTCTGGAATCCTGTGCTTCCCAGTTCAGAGCTCAGGATTCTCTAACTGCATTGTCTCTTTATGTTTTTTTTAAGATTTTTATTTATTTATTTGAGAGAGAGAGACACAGCGAGAGAGGGAACACAAGCAGGGGGGCAGTGGGAGAGGGAGAAGCAGGCTTCCCGCTGAGCAGGGAGCCTGATGGGGGGGCTCGATCCCAGGACCCCAGGATCGCGACCTGAGCTGAAGGCAGACACTTAACGACTGAGCCACCCAGGCGCCCCTGCATTGTCTCTTTAAAACAAAATCTCTCGAAAGCCAGTTTAATGATGGCATTAACAGTGATTTATATGTCATGACAGACTCTTCTAAAAAACAAACCACTTAAAAAAAAATCAGTGGACTGGAAGACGCTTGAGTTCAAGTCCAATTCCCTGTTACCCTGCTATGTCTCTGACCACCCCGCCCCCCCACACACCTTGTTTTCTTGTTTAATAGAGGGGGCTCCCAGCCAGGAAAATGAGATCATGAAAGCAACTGTGCAGGACACAGCTGTGTGCAGGGAAGAACATTATTTCTGCTAATTCTAAACTACCCCCCCACACACACACACAAATGGAATTTGGGGTGTTTGCAAAACTTCATTTGATTTTTATCACTGCTATTTCTGTTTATAGTAATAATAGTAAGGCTACAAAAAATATTTTAGAGACTGCAAGATATTTGGCAATTAGATCTGGCATGGTTTTTTTTACCTATTTTACAACTGAAGTCAGTAATTTGGAAAATGCTTATTACTTTGTAAACCCAAACTCTTCATAACAATAAAACAATTATGAGCATTCGCTCTTTTTTTTTATTCTGAGACCATTTTAGAGACAATTCATTGTCTTTCTTTCCTATTTCCTTCTCAATCTAGAAATGAGAGAGTTCGGTGAGAGGTGTTTAAAAGAAAGAGTTGAAGGCAGAAAAAGCAGGCACGTCACATTCATCTTCACTGACGCTCAGAACAACACTGGTTGGTCTCTAACGTGAAAAAAAGAAAACAAAAATTTGCATACAGGATAGAGAAACTCAGCGCATTGTTTTCCAAACTTTAAGGAAATGGTGCAATTTGGGTCGGGGAAAAACAATTTCACTGTTTTTGTCAGGCAGGTGCTGTGTGTATGAACTTGTTTGGGTGTTCAGTCATTGACCTTTATCAGATGGGCTGGAGAGCAAGGATTTGGGCAGGTCATGCTGTCAAAGATAAATCTGTGCCTGGTATTTTTCTGCCTAAAGAAAAATTACCTTCTCATGTTATCTAAAGCTTTGTCCTTATCGTAACCTGCTACATTTGAAATAGTTCTTTCTTGGTAATAGTTTTCCAATAAGCTACTGGGTTTAATAGTAGATCATTTGGAAACTATGATAAGATCGGTATTACTTAAGTTCTCTAAATTAATTTACTTGAAAATATGATAATGGTGTCCTTGTTTATTTGCTCATACAGAAGGTTGACCTTCTCCCAGTAATCCGTAAAAGCAGTGTTCACTTCAGCTGGTGGTAATATGAGTTTCCAGCATGGCCTACAATCTAAAATAAATATGGTTTCTCCATGGGATCTATATTTCCTCAGCTCCAAATCACCATTGTAATCTCTTTCTTTAATTGTCCTTCCCAGTATGCTTACCTCTACTCACCTATCAAGAGTGTCATGTAACCGGCATGGCATCAAAGAATCTAAACCAAAGGGCTGTGGGGAAACTGCAGAAACACACCCACGATCCTTCAGGGAAAGGACATCTCTGAAGAACAGTGTCTGTTCAAAGGGTGACAACACAGCCACCACAAAGAGAAGCCCATACCCAACAATAAGGCTTCGATGAAAACCTACATGCTCCGACTTCTGTTTTAATTCATTTCACTTTTAGGTTTCAGAGTCTTATTTCTTCACAATCTGGAAGAATGGGTGATTTGTTTCAGACCGTAGTCATAAAGCACACACAATCCAAACCTCCGTTATGTGTCATTCTCCTGTCTTCCGTTCTTCTTCCCTAATTGCTCCCTGTGTGAGGCTTCTTGTTCCAACAACATTGTCATCTCCTTGAATATAAGACTGTACTTTTTCAGACCACTGTTAGCACATCACGCAGGTCTAGGGACACAGTGAACGCTCTAACAGGAAATGAAAGGAATTGAATGAAGAAGTAGAACAAACATGATTTTCCTGTCAGTGATTAATAACCCCAAAGAAACGGCATGAATGTTTCAATCATCATGAGCAATTAATGTGAAAAAAATTGGAAACTAAAGGCACCAACCCTTTGGAGGGATCAAAGTCTACATCTGTACTAGCCTAGCTCTTACTAAATGTCCTGAGCCAAGTACTGACAGACGATTGTCCAGAACTCTCAGTCACAGCAAAAGAAAAGGTCTTGAAATAAAAGTGATGAGCAGCTAAATATGAATGGGATTTTGAAGTACCCAACCCATGTAATGATCCACAGGCCCTGAATTAATTAATTTCTAAACCAACGCCTTTCAATAGTGGAGACACAAGTTTGACCCCATGCGTCCCAGGCACTGTATAAAACACTCTCCTTTTGTTGCAACATGTCATTGAATAATCACCAAGAAGGAAACTGAGGCTCAACTATGTGAGAAAACGTGCATGCATTCAGGTCCCCTTACCAGTAGACTAGCCCAAGCCCTGTGTTCAATGGGTGAGAATCACGAAGCTCAGGTAGTTTAAGCGACTTGGCCAGTGGCAGTGAACTAGGGACTGAACCATTCCTAACACCAGGTCTCCTGACTCACAGTTCAGGCACGCTTTCCATTACATAGAATAAACAACGACTTCATTTACTAGCTGCACGGAAGTTTAACAAGAATTTTCCAGAGAAGCATGGGAACACTCCACTTATTTTTTTTAATAAGCAAAAGTCTTTGTTTTCTAAATACATGCTAAACACTTTGATTTTAAGAGAGAGAGAGAGAGAACGCGCGTGGGGCGTTTGGGGGGTGGGGGGGAGCTGTGGCCGGAGGTAGAGAGAGAGAATCTTAAGCAGCCTCTGCACTAAGCATGTAACGTGATGCGGGGCTGGACCTCACGACCCTGAGATCATGACCTGAGCTGAAACCAAGAGTCGGGGCGCTTAACTGACTACACCCCCCAGGTGCTCCTTTGCTAAAGACTTTCAAATCTATTCTTTTTTTTAAGTTCAATTGAGTTAACACATAATGTATCACTAGTTTCAGGGGAAGAGCCTACTTCACAACTAATTTTGAACAGAAACTGAAAAGTCGTGCCGTTGTCGCTCCTTTCTACTTCCTGCACCGGGGGGGGGGGCCGAGGGCTGCTCCACAGAAGGGAGGGCAGAGCCTCCAAGCGCTCCTCCCCTTCCGGCTCCTCGGCGGCGGTCGCCCAGCATCCTGGCCTGCAGCCCTCTCTGCGTTTCGCCTCCCGGCGCCCAGATGCGCGGATGCAGACGTGAGGCCCGAGCAGCCCGGGGAACTGGGCGCCGCACTCCTGCACAGCAAGCCGCCCGCCCCGAGCTCAGCCCGAGCCTCGCCCAGGCCTGAGTTTGAAGTCTGCTTCTCTCCCTTCCCGACTCATGACTGGGGGCAAGATATTTATCGGTTTCCTCCTTCTTTAAAATAATGCCTGGGCGCCTGGGTGGCTCAGTTGGTTGGGCGACTGCCTTCGGCTCAGGTCATGATCCTGGAGTCCTGGAATCGAGTCCCGCATCGGGCTCCCTGCTCGGCAGGGAGTCTGCTTCTCCCTCTGACCCTCCCCCCTCTCATGCTCTCTCGCTCTCATTCTCTCTCTCAAATAAATAAATAAAATCTTGGGCGCCTGGGTGGCTCAGTCGGTTAAGCGACTGCCTTCGGCTCAGGTCATGATCCTGGAGTCCCGGGATCGAGTCCCGCACCGGGCTCCCTGCTCGGCGGGGAGTCTGCTTCTCCCTCTGACCCTCCCCCATCTCGTGCTCTCTCTCTCTGTCTCATTCTCTCTCTCAAATAAATAAAATCTTTAGAAAAATAAAAATAAAATAATGCTTATGCCAAAGTTTGGTGTGGGGCTGAAACGGAACGATGGGTTCTCAAGAAGTGGGAACTGTGACTATTATGTCCCAGAACTGGAAGGAAAGCAGCGCTGTGGTCCATAAACTGTATCCTAGAGGATAAACAAAAGCAGAAAGAAAGGTATAGAACCCAGGGTTCCGTGATAAGTGGCGGGCAGAGCTAATAAGTACCCTGTACGCACCAGGAAGGCCATGCGGGTGGTTAAAATATCAAAATATCCGCACCAGGGGTTAAAGGGCCACTAACTCAACCCCCCCCCCCCCCCCCCCCGCCCCGGGGCTTGCTCTTCTGTGCCACCCCAGCTGCCATGGCCCCTCCCATCTAACTCCACCCAGGAGCCCAAGGGTTCGCACCTGGCACAGGGGAAGATGAGCAGTGGGGGGAAGACACCCCAGATCCTGCTTAGGTGCCACTGGCCACATCCCTGCTGGTCGGTTGGTACTTAGACTAAGCAGGCTGTACCTGTAACTATTTTGAATATTTATTTGTGTCTCAGAGAATATGTTGTGACATTCAGTAGTAGTCTTAAGCACCAAAATGAATTCGATGCCCATGGGACCTAAGTAAGCAGGCACCTTTGGAAGCTTTGTGCTAACGAGAAAAACTACTTCCTGCCCTTGGACGCAACCCCACACCAGGAGACACACGTTGGGGAGATACACTTCGGGGAGCTGGCTAGACTTTAGCCAGCACTTACCTTTCATCTAGACACCCTGTTGCAAAGCATGGTCTCATACAGCAAGTCTCCACTTGCCACCCTAATCCCCTGAATACATACTTCAAAAGAGAAGCAACACTAAGCCTCAAAATCTTTGTAAGGAAGTCCAACAAAGTAATGGTTTTTCCCATGACATCTACATGGGTGCTTTTTTAAAATCTGCGATATTGAACTAGTTTAATTAGTGTCTATTGCACTAATTCTTATAAAGTAAGTCCAGTATTGGTTAATTTTAACTTCACATTAGAATCACATGGGAAGCTTTTATACAAAATGTTGATGCCTGGTCCCAGCCCCAAATCAATTAAATCAGATTGGGGTGGAACCCGAGCATCAGTATATGGGTTAAAGCTCCTCAGGAGTATCCAACGCTCAGCCAAGATTTAAAACCACTGTCCTACAAACCACTAGAAATATAAAACAGAGTACCAGGGCTTACCAGTGTGTGTGTGTGCATGCGCGTGTGTGTGTGTGTGTGCGCGTTCTAGCAGCCCCCTCAGTTGTAGTCATAAATATTTATTGTGAGTGAAATATACATACAAAATGTAAATATACATACATGTCCCACATGACATATGTCTATGTTTTTTAAAAAAAGAATACCCAAAGTACTCAACTAGTTGAGTCCACTCAACTAAAGAAATGGAACATTTCAAAATCTGTAAAGCTTATTTTTTTTGTTCCCCATTTTAGTATTGTTTCTTCTCTCTGGCCAGGTAACCACTACCCAGAATTTTGCTTCTATCTTTCCCTTTTTTTCCTTTATGATTTTTTTCATAGATTTTGTACTTTCACACAAAATATTGTTTGCTTCTGCCTGTTTTCAAATTTTTATACCTGATTCCTACTAGATACATTCTTCTGTGTCTTGTCATTTTTTTGCTCAAAATTATGTTCTGACGAATTTTATACGTATTTCATTTAATGCCCCCCAATGGCCCCACAAATGAGTTTTACAGATGAGCACACTGAGGCTTGAAAGAGCAAGTACTTTGACCAGAGTCACATTCTAATAGGAGCAGACATGGAGTCAGAACATAGATCTGTCCCTCTCAGAGCTTACCCATTGAACTATCCTGGCTAACCATTGTGCTGCACTTGACACAAAATTGTGAGGAATATGAGAAGTCAAGTCTCTGGATAACAGAGTTGAGAATTTAAAAACACAAATTACGCTATTTCACCATGCCTACGCGATGCTATGTTCACCAAAATTGCCAGAGCAAGTCATAAAATCATGTGCAGAGTCTATTGGGCATTTTACAACTTTCCATATAATGGATATGTACATTTCACCTACCAGGCAAGTGTATACAACTGATGTCCATTCTGATTTCTTTGAAACTACTGAACTTTAAAGTGCTAAACTGATGACTATATAGACATGTCTATTATTAGGTGGATATATTGCATATAGATAAATGTTATCAATTCTCTTATCCTTTTTACCATATTAAATAAGGATGTTTTTCCCACAAGCAACTGTGAATAGTAAATGTGTTGAAGGCAAATTATGCCTAATAATTCCTTTGGTTTCCATATCTGTTGCCTCCTCAATTTGGCTTAATGATCAGCCATAACCTGCTATAAATTTCAGGGGTAAACAGTATGACTTAACGTATGTATCACGTACATTCTTTTCTGGGTTGTTTTTTCGCTTTTTTGTTTTTACTTAGTTGAGATTCACACTATAAACCTTCAAACTGTTGTTTTGAATAGAAAGTTCTTGGTGAGGTTGGAGTGTTGACCAAGAAGACATTTGTTTTGATGAATTACTCCAGTCAAGGATCTAACCCACAGACCTTGCCTACAGGTAGGGAGTGGAAGCTTCTTTCACAGGCTGGTTTACAGAGTCCTACAGATAAACCCAAATACCAACTTACTCCTTAGCCATGAGACATTCAATGATTAAAAGTCTGGTACACCTGCATCATTGGGCAAACCAAATAGGAAACCATTTTATGTTTCCTATTGCTGGCGGATTCTATGTAGGAAAGGCTTGCCACTGGGACTGAAAAAGTGTGGGGTTCTGGTCTCCCCGTTTATTGGTCAATGTTTGGCTTAGCATTTCCTGGTTGATGCTCCTGTGCTTCCCTTTAGTAAGCCCTGAGCTGGCTATTTTCAGGAAAACCTTTTCTAGCTTAATCTATGCACATTTGAATTGTAGTACTTAAAATTGGATTCAGATGCGGGCTTGGCTGCTTTGCTAACTT